GTACTTCGATGTTTTGAATGATTTAAAATATCATCTGATATAATTCAAAATTTCAAGTCTTTATACCTACTTCTAGAATTCGAAAACTATATTGAACTCTTGAAAGATCATTTTTTTGATTTTTGAGTAGGTATTTTTTTATATAACTACCTACCCCGAGCGCGAAAAAGTTCTGGTGAATATAAATCTGGAGAGTTTGCTGTCCAAGTAAACGCGTGTTTTGAATCTTGAAAGATCTTTTTTCTCTCAACCTTGAGCTCGTCTTATGCATATGACTGTTCGTTTTGTCTGACTATACTATCAATGATATAATGTCCAGTATAATTAAGAAAAAACTGGGTCTGCAAGTCCACGCCTTTCCTTTGACATTCGGCCTTCACCTGGTGATTCACTTCATCATACTTCATCCTTAATGTGTATTCACTAGTCAGTAGGCTTTCTTGAAGCTCTAAACCAGTTTCAATTCAATAATGTAAGCAGAACAACAACAGGTAGGTACTGTTGATCGTATTCTAATTGATGTTGCATAACGTTACCTATACAGATTGTTTCGTCAAAGCATAGCCGACGGTTACAAGGGGCAAGGGGGATTAATGCCCCCCTCCAGCCTGAGCTTTACATATTGGCTATATTCTGAATCTGCTGATTTTTTATTCCGAAAATAGAAAGATCACTGAAAGTGACAGATGCTTATGAGCAGACATACTTATTCATTCCAAAAATTTCGACTCATCATTCTGCTGACTATCAAAAGGTAGTGTGGCTTCAGATCACTGAAAGTGACAGATGCTTATGAGCAGACATACTTATTCATTCCAAAAATTTCGACTCAACATTCTGCTGACTATCAAAAGGTAGTGTGGCTTCAGTGAACTGTCATTATTCTAAATTTGGAAGGTATGTCACATTTATTTCCGTTGTTTTCTGAACATCAAGTCTTGTCTTTTAACAATAATAAATTAATAATATAATTTTCGATATCAGAAAATACCTGTTATCAAAATAATAAACGCTGAGAATAATATGGAGTATGAAGTAGTAGAGATAACGAAAGAAGAAGCAGCATTGGCTGAATTAACAACTAAATAAACCTGGAATGGTTCTCAACTTCATCATCTGAATAATGCCATATCACGTTTTTCATGAATCTTCCAATTTTCAATCTGGTGCATGATGAAAAGTTATTGGCAACAAAACGTCCAAGTATTCTTCATCGCTCGAGCTTGAATTGTCATCAGCAAAAATCGTAGAAACTATGGAGGCTAGAAGAATCGATTGCTCTTCCATGTTGAATATTGAATTTCCAAAATTTAGCTCAAGCAGAAGCATTAGCCAGATCAATGACGGCTAAAATATCTAGTTCAGATAAACGAGAAAAGGAATTTTACCAGCACGATCAACTGCTGCTGATTCCCATGAAAACCTGTTCCAAATTACAGCACTGTATTTTTGGTTTTATATTTCGAAACTCAGATTTTCAGCAGTCAGTGGACCTACTGACAGCACTGACCAGTTGAATTCGGAATATAGCCATTGTAATACGTGGTGATACTGTGAAAGTTGTAGTCTAGTAGTTGTAGAAAAGGTGTCCATTGTTTTGTTTTATTGTTTTGTTACATTAAACCTCACATACTATTCCAATAATTTTTTCATTTTTCAACCATTCTTTGGAGATAAATTATTTCGAATTATTTTTTGAGGTAGAATCGAAAATTCGGCTATGCCGGGTGTCCCAAGTTGTCGTATGCAGGCAATATCTCGCTTATTTGACAAAATTGAAAAATTGAAAAACTGCATTGAATGACATTGAAGTACCTTCCTAATGACATATAAAAAAATGTATTACATTTGACAGTTTTCTGGCAGCTACTATCCCCCACTTTTCATTTTCAAATCTCTATCAATTTGGGATACAACGATAGCGTATAATTGCAATCTTTCTATTGATATCAACAAAAATATCAACATTTTGTGACTTGTTTCAAGTTACTCAATTATTTTTGAATGTATGATAAATTGATATTAATCATACAGGACGTGGAAAGAAATTCTGGATTGTGTATATCATGAAGAATGGCTGAAAGAATAACTGGATTACTGATTAGGATTTGGAGTTTTGATGGCGTTGAATTCAACTGGGTTGTTGATTCTCATGGCTGTAATCAGCATATATTGTTCTTTTGATCCGATATATATATATAAATTATAAATAAATAAATGAATAAATAAATAAAATGCATTATTCGAATCATTCATTCTTAGTCACTTAGGAGAGTAAGTATGAAATAAATGCTTGGTTAATATTGAGATTGGTATTATTTGTCATATTATATTTCTATTAACTCAATTACATATCCGAATAATCCATATTGTCATAATGCACATACTCTCACTTTCATGAAGATATCAAAAAATGAATTGTTGCAATACGAAATGTAACTATATATTCATGTCCTTTACGAATGTAACGCCTTAAGCTCAGAAGGCGTAGAAAGGTTTCTTATTACGAAAACAACCAGGGCACGATATTGCCAACACGAAAAAAAAAACAATGGACGACTGACTGGCTTCCTTTCCCAGTCTAAGTTAACGATTTCAATGCTGATATATTCCGATACTAGCTAGTAGCTACATCATTCATTCTTTGTCTTAGAACTATGAATTATATGTGAAAACCTCAGAAACTAAAAAATTTCCACAACATTCTCGACATATTTCGCTAACACAGTAGCTTCTTCAACTTAAAGTGAAGAATTACCTGCGTGCAGGCTAGTTTGATACTCCATTTTCCAGAAAGTGTGTACTATATCTATATCTACATCAAGATTCTGTGTGACGAATAACCTTAAAAGAAGCACTATGTTCTCCGAATCTTGTGTCTACACTTTCACGTGATTGCCCAATATATTTCATGTTCCATGAATAGTATTTTTTTGCATATTATTATGCTCAGGGCTTGCGATTTGAAAGTACCATTCAAATTCCTTGTGGCTTGATGGGGATGAAAAAAAATCTTCACAAATCTCACTAGCTGAAACAAGTTACACCCCTAAAGAATACATATACATTTTTTTTCAAAGTTACATTATTCATTGAGATATCATTGATAATGTCCAAATTGATTTATTTTGATCATTTTGAGGGCGTGGTGATTTTCCATTGATAAATACCGTAAAGTGATCTTTAGAAAATCGTGTACCGCCCACTATGATTCAATACGATATTGTGATATAACCCACATATTGTCTTGTTTATAGACATATAATGATTTAGAATGTGGTGCAGTGTGAAATTATGGGCGGAATATAATAATGAAAAAAGAACTCTCAGCCGTTTTAGTCACAGGAATTATGAAATTCATCATATTGTTTGCAAAACAGTTCTTGTTGAATCAAGCAAAAATACAGTTCATCGACTGTTTTGCAAGGTAATTTTCGAGTCACTGCACATGCATAAATTAAATTTACTCAACCACTAATGGGCTTCTTGACAAATAGTATACCAAAATTTGAAAAAGTCGAAATACATTTTTCAGTTCCAAAGTTATCAAGCAGAAAAACGATATTAAAACTGTATACCTATAGCATAATTTTATTATCAATCCTATCTTTCATTTTGCAATTATGATTCAGCTTGCAGAAGATCATAATCACGTGTTAATGTTAAGTATACGATTATCTATTTCCTTTTGAGTAGAATACGCAGCCAAATGGCCATACGACCTTGCAAAAATTGTTTCAGTAGATAACTACTTTCAAATAATGTATTCATTCAACACATCGATGAGGATTCGATGAAGATAATGAGGATTTTTATTGGCCTTATATACGTTCGTGTATACCTACGATCGTAAACAAAATAGATAAATATGCCCCGAGAAAGAAAAAACAATACAGAATCGTCTGAGAACAATTTTTGGGGAACTAAAACGATATATTGTTTAGATTCTAGAATATTGTAACCAAAAGTCTAGCCAAAAGTCATAATACAAATTTCGTTACCTTCAGTTTTTCTATTTCTAAAAAATTTTGAGCAAGACAATTTGCAGCATTTTTTTTAAGTATATTCTCAACGCACGTACCTAATGTATGATGATTATCCTTGTTCTTTATATTGCTATAATTACTATAAATCATCTCGATATCATTTTGAATGAAAAAGATTTATATCCATGGTACTTTTTATGTTCATAAATCAGTAGTCTTTGTTCGAATGAATTTTTTAGTTTCATTGTTTGCCATTTCGATGAATAAAAGGAAATATAAAAATCCTTTTGTTACACCCTCTGCATGATGCGTCTATGAAACACTATCTAAAATCTTTTATACTTTTTCCTGATTGTGATTCAATAATTTTTGAATATTCCTTTCGTAACACCAAATGGACTAATACTCATTATCTGATGAAGTCTTGACACTCCTTGAATTTAACAAATTCAACTACCCACAAAATAATTTGGTTAATGAGAAGTCACAACCTACTATTGTAATTAGTTGTTCGTCATAAATCCAGTATCAATATATAATATTAATAATATTATAACCTATAAGTAGTTATATTGATTTTTGCTCAAATACAAAAAGGTATGGTATAGAAGATATTACGAAATTAATCAAGATAAGAAAATAACATACATTTTTGCGATGTATTCTCAAGTGTGTTGCATCTATAAAATAAAATATTTTTATAGGAAATCCAACTGGAAATTTCTCACAATAGTTATCGCATTTCAAAGCATACTAATTGTTCTGTGAACAATTGGCAATTGTGACAGCTCATGGTTTTGTTTTCTTTATTTTCAACAGAGCGTACACATAATAGTCCATTGTGAAAAGTGATGTTCTGTTATCTCGATGAAATTGAAGAAAAAACTTACATGAATGAAATAATGTTAAAACTAGCACTTTCACCAAATATTAAAAAAAATCTATTCCCAAAATATCGGCAATAAATGATATTCAGTTGATTAACTTTCACTTATATTTTGATATTTTTTCCAGTGGTTGCCAGTGTTCATTATAGGAGCAACACTATTCATCCAAATAGAATCAAGAAGGGTGAGGATCGAACGACCAGAAGTAGAGGAAGAGGAACAAGAAGAAACTGTTAACTACTACTCCGCTGAGCCTCAAGAAGACCAAAGAACAGTCGTTCTAGTCTCTTCTGCAGATAGGTACAGTTGGTCTAATATATAACCATAAGCTGTAGGTCCCGCTCTTCCTAACCCCGAACATGTTTTAACTTCTGGGGAGTTGCTTCCTACCTTCAAAGTAGCGATTAAATTTTTTTTCCTACTAGGCTGCGGAAAAGTCCACTTTTCCGCACTCATTTTGTTGTGGAGATAGAGTCGTTTTTTTGCACTCAGTTTAGCTTTTTTCAGGGTTATAGGAAGTCCTTTCAGATACGTTTCAACTGTGATAGATCTAGGGTTCACTTCTAATGAACAAATGAGATTTGGCCGAAAGTGCCAGAAAACGGCGGAAATTCACGCGAATTATTGCTTTTCCAGTAGAAAATGACACGCTGAATCGAATGAGACCATCAGCCGGATAGGACAGATAGTTTTCGAGATATCGGCGCTCAAAGGCAGCTTTCCGATTTCATTGCCAATAGGTGCACTGCGGTAGGCTACTACGTCTCCATTTCCCGAAATTGCCTAATTTCCACCACAGATTCGTTCATTTCGACATCGAATTAGTCTATGTGAATTTTTTCAGATTTTTAATAGGCCAAATAAAAATTTTCATTTCCCCACCTGAGACCTCAGTACGATATAGTCACCGAGCTATCTTCGGACGGCCGAAAGTGCCAGAAAACGGCGGAAATTCACGCGAATAATTGCTTTTCCAGTAGAAAATAACACGCTGAATCGAATGAGACCATGATCAGCCCGATAGGACATATAGTTTTTGAGATATCGGCACTCAAAGGCAGCTTTCCGATTTCATTGCCAATAGGTGCACTGCGGTAGGCTACTACGTCTCCATTTCCCAAAATTGCCTAATTTCCACCACAGATTCGTTCATTTCGACATCGAATCAGTCTATGTGAATTTTTTCATGTTTTTAATAGGCCAAATAAAAATTTTCATTTCCCCACCTGAGACCTCAGTACGATATAGTCACCAAGCTATCTTCGAACGGCCGAAAGTGCCAGAAAACGCCAGAAATTCACGCGAATTATTGCTTTTCCAGTAGAAAATGACACGCTGAATCGAATGAGACCATCAGCCGGATAGGACAGATAGTTTTCGAGATATCGGCGCTCAAAGGCAGCTTTCCGATTTCATTGCCAATAGGTGCACTCCGGTAGACTACGTCTCCATTTCCCAAAATTGCCTAATTTCCACCACAGATTCGTTCATTTCGACATCGAATCAGTCTATGTGAATTTTTTCAGATTTTTAATAGGCCAAATAAAAATTTTCATTTCCCCACCTGAGACCTCAGTACGATATAGTCACCGAGCTATCTTCGGACGGCCGAAAGTGCCAGAAAACGGCAGAAATTCACGCGAATTATTGCTTTCCAAGTAGAAAATGACACGCTGAATCGAATGAGACCATGATCAGCCGGATAGGACAGATAGTTTTCGAGATATCGGCGCTCAGAGTCAGCTTTCCGCTTTCATTGCCTATAGGTGCACTCCGGTAGGCTACTACGTCTCCATTTCCCAAAATTGCCTAATTTCCACCACAGATTCGTTCATTTCGACATCGAATTAGTCTATGTGATTTTTTTCAGATTTTTAATAGGCCAAATAAAAATTTTCATTTCCCCACCTGAGACCTCAGTACGATATAGTCACCGAGCTATCTTCGGACGCCCGAAAGTGCCAGAAAACGGCAGAAATTCACGCGAATCATTTTTTCCAAGTAGAAAATGACACGCTGAATCGAATGAGACCATGATCAGCCGGATAGGACAGATAGTTTTCGAGATATCGGCGCTCAAAGGCAGCTTTCCGATTTCATTGCCTATAGGTGTTCCCCGGTAGGCTACTTCGTCTCCATTTCTCAAAATTGCCTAATTTCCACCACAGATTCGATTATTTCGACATCGAATTAGTCTATGTGAATTTTTTCAGATTTTTAATAGGCCAAATAAAAATTTTCATTTCCCCACCTGAGACTTCAGTACGATATAGTCACCAAGCTATCTTCGGACGGTCGAAAGTGCCAGAAAACGCCAGAAATTCACGCTAATTATTGCTTCCCCAGTAGAAAATGACACGCTGAATCGAATGAGACCATCAGCCGGATAGGACAAATAGTTTTCGAGATATCGGCGCTCAAAGGCAGCTTTCCGATTTCATTGCCAATAGGTGCACTGCGGTAGGCTACTACGTCCCCATCTCCCGAAATTGACTAATTTTCACCACAGATTCGTTCATTTCAACATCGAATTAGTCTATGTGAATTTTTTCAGATTTATAATAGGCCAAATAAAAATTTTCATTTCCCCACCTGAGACTTCAGTACGATATAGTCACCGAGCTATCTTCGGACGGCCGAAAGTGCCAGAAAACGGCGGAAATTCACGCGAATCATTGCTTTCCCAGTAGAAAATGACACGCTGAATCGAATGAGACCATCAGCCGGATAGGACAGATAGTTTTCGAGATATCGGCGCTCAGAGTCAGCTTTCCGATTCCATTGCTAATAGGTGCACTCCGGTAGGCTATTACGTCTCAATTTCTCAGAATTTACGAATTTTCACCACAGATTCGTTTATTTCGACATCGAATTAGTCTATGTGAATTTTTTCAGATTTTTAATAGGCCAAATAAAAATTTTCATTTCCCCACCTGAGACTTCAGTACGATATAGTGCCAGAAAACGGCAAAAATTCACGCGATTTATTGCTTTCCCAGTAGAAAATGACACGCTGGACCGGATGAGACCATGATCAGCCCGATAGGACAGATAGTTTCCGAGATATCGGCGCTCAAAGGCAGCTTTCCGATTCCATTGCTAATAGGTGCACTCCGGTAGGCTACTACGTCTCAATTTCCCTGAATTTACGAATTTCCACCACAGATTCGTTTATTTCGACATCGAATTAGTCTATGTGAATTTTTTCAGATTTTTAATAGGCCAAATAAAAATTTTCATTTCCCCACCATCCATCTATATTGACTGGTCTCCTCTTTAACAGGTTCATAATATAGTCATGAAGAGAGTTAAATTGAACATTCGTTGGAAAAAACATAAATATAATATGCATATCATGCATATTATGAATGAAATTAACTTAATTCCATTGCGTAGTGGGAGTCTCAAGTTCGACTTATGTTTTATTTTCAAATTATTGAATGGTCCTAAAGTTTCAACATTTATATCAAATTCCATTTTATGACACAAATTATGGACAGCATTAGGATGCTCATTGAATACGTTTATCCATGGCTGTTGTATAAAATATTCATAATACATGTATTTCCTCAAGCAAAACGATTACACCAGTGAATAATAGCATTCACAGGTGTGAAAAATGGCTATCGTTTTGCTTGAGGAAGTACAACATCGTGGACAAATAATTAATAAATCAGTTTCCTGTCTTCAATTTATAGTTTTCCTAATGTAAAATGAGTTATGATAAAACAGTTGTTAAAAATAAATTAATATATCAAAGACAATAGTCGTGGACAAAGTCGCTACTCACGTGACATAAACTTAACCTTCTTGAATAATAGCCCTCATTATATGCTTGTTGAATAATATACTAAGATGTCTCTGCGTAATAGTGTATAACCGGAGATAGTCTTCATATAAATCATTATTTCGTTAGATATAATGGTCTCTATGGCCAACAACAGGCTTCGGCAAGAAGCATAGAAAACAACTATATCCCAAGGGGTCAAGCTAGACCTCAACTGGAATCCACACGAGCCAAAGAGCCTAACAGACCTCCCCCTGTACAAACCCTCAGGAATTATAACAAAGTCAACGATGATGGCTCCTTCACCTTCGGATATGAAGCTGCCGATGGGAGTTTCAAGGAAGAGACGAGGGGTGAGTCCATTTCAAAAATATAAACCACCCAGAGAGTGTACTTTAATTCTTACAAAAACCAATTACAAATTGTTTATTACTAGGTAAGTACCGAATGTCGATTGTGTTTGTTATTAGTCCTCCGAAATTTGAAATGTTACAGAATTAATAAAAATAAAATAACAAATTATACAAAATTTCACAAATACAGTTTGAACAAATATTCAAAATTTTACAAATTCCTCTAAAGATTTATAAATCTTTGAAAATTGGAATTTTGCATATTTCACAAATTCAAAAAATTCCACTTCCATAAATTCTACAAATGTCAGTGATTTTCCTCATATTATACAAATTTGACGAATTACCAATTTCATCAAACGTTATTATGAGTAATGATAACGAATCAATCAATGAACAGTTTCGACAGAAAAAAATCTGAACTTGGAAAATCTCGATTTTGCACACCCTATATGTCAGTAACTTTCACTGCTTGACCCTAAGTATGATAGGCCTTTGAAATCAGATCTTCAGGGAGAATTCAAAAATGAAATAAAATATAGGATGTTCCAATGAAAAAAACATAGCTTTGATGTGCTGTGACCTTACGGAACACCCTGTGTATTTCAAAGAAATTTTGAAATGTGAAGCTCGATTATAACTTCAATTTTGATATATGACTTTCTTCTGTATCTCTCAAGACAACAGAGAAATCGAACTCTGGAGTCTTAGTTGGCCACCCTGTACATACCTTTATTTTTCTTCTCCAAACCTTTTTCAATACAAATTGTCACTGACAAGCTAGTCAATTTTTCTTTTAGGCTCTCTGATAGGAAAATTCTTCAAACCCAGTGACATTTTGGGGCAAATCATCTGATTTGTCCCCACTACACGTATATTGAAATAGTATTCATATTTTTATTTTATAGAGACGGAGAGATAAAATCCCAAAAAAATCTGGAATAATGACTGTACCACCTCCTCGATTAACCTAAATTATATTTAAATTCTTCTCATTTCAGTATTCAACGAATTTTACGGAATTCACAGTCAGGAGCAGGAATTCTGACAAATTTCCCAATTGTCATGATTGAAACGAGTCCTTCGACTTCTCAAAATTCCAGCACCTGTACCAATTTGTTTCAGGTACCGATTGTGTAGTACGTGGCAAATACGGTTACGTCGACCCAGACGGCAACAAGCGAGAATTCACCTACGTGTCGGGAAATCCCTGCGACCCCAATGCCCCCCAGGACCAGGACGATCCCGAGGAGAGCCAAGAAGCCCAGAACGAGAATGTCCCGCAAAACTACCCCACCAGGCCTATCCAGGCGCTGAGAAGACCCGTACCCAAGCCAGCAGTCACTTTGTTCCAGAATACTTACGCGCAGGAAGAAGAGCAACCTGAGGACGTCCAGGTGTTGAGGCCGACACCACAGGTATGCTATTTTTTTACACTGGAGTTGTTTTGTCATTTTCATTAACGTCCATTGAAGAAATAAGGGAGTCTTCTTGGTGCATCAACAGCGAGACCAATAATTTGAGCTTTAGGTCCTATAATTGAACCCTATGCTGGAACAACGTTGTAACCGCCAATATCTATAAAAACGGTTTTTCCATGGAACAAGGCTGTATGCGACCTATACAATCCGCTTTCATGATAGTGGGGGCATAGGAAATTTTTATGGTGATTTCTGGTGTCATTTCGGTCAGTCAAGTTTGGAGAGTTTATGGAACAACATTGTATGTGCTTCTAGTTTCCCGCACTCTTCCTTTGTTTACATGTGTTTGGTCTGTAGTTTATCGTCGTTATAAGCAGAAATGGACGTTTCTTTGAAAGACTCAGTTATTACACAACTAAATAATAATAAAAATTCTTTGCCTTTTTCCACTTGTGCTTCATTTTTGATCTTGAAACAACGTTGTAACCGCCTTAGTTCCCTGGAATAACGTTGTAACCGACGTGGATATATAACGTTGTTTGATTGAAAAAAGAAAACTATGCTCGTAAATCATAATTCTGCATGTGGTCAAGTCTATTTCGCGTATCATGCAGTCAAGTTCTTCCTTGCTAGTCATATCAGGCAAATATTTACTTCATTTGATGGAAAAATCGAACATAAATATATAGTTTTTTTCGATTTCCCAAAAAAAAACATTTTTGGCGTTTACAACGTTGTTCCAGCATAGGGTTCAATTATTGACTCAAGGTCCGAATCTGATAATCCAATTTATCCGTTTTTCAACTAGGAAAAACTAGGGTCCCTTGATGTAAATTGACGTATTTGTCATCTTACAGGGTACGGACAGATCGTCGTCTCATCTCACTCTAAAGTGTTTGTGAAACAGTTATATTCATTTCTGGGGATACACACTAGATTTCTGACATTTGTTGTTTTTTAGGTTATATTGAGGGCATTGGCGTATCATACGTAATTTCCACATGTAATTTCTCATTCAACTCTACATAATATATCCAAATGATGATGATGATTTTCGAGTTTTTGATTTTTCAACTCCAACATGATCTTTGTGAGACAATGAGTAAATTTTTCTGAAAGTTCAATACGTTTTACCAAATTGGACTGTTCTTAGGCAATACCTGATAAATAAATCAATTTTGATTCCAGACTAAGCCTTATGGTTGAGAAATGGTGAAAAATTGTATATAGGTATTCAAACTAATTGTGCTCATATGTCATGTGTGCTGCATACACTGTGTCCGTAAAGTATGGAACAAATTCGATATTTCCTAAACTAAATGCCTTCTCAAAAAAATCAGAAATACGTCAATTTTTGATTTTGATGTTCTACATTTTACCACAAAATCTCATTCAACAGGGTGGTACACAAAGGTGAGGACGCCATCGACAATTTTTTTCTATGTAACACCCTATATTTTGTGACATTTTCAGATCAGAAATGAGCTGATTCCAAATAGGTGTTTTACTTGGGGTCAAAAAATAGAGAAATAGTATGTATCTCACTGTAAAATGAAATTCAGTGTTGAAATGTAGAACATCAAAATAAAAAATTGACGTGTTTCAGATATTTTTGAAAAGGCTTTCATTTTAGGAAATATCGAATTTGTTCCATACTTCACGGACACGACAGTGTATATTCATGTTGGGAATCATTTTTGAAGTTTTTCACACTTAATATTTCCTGAATGTAGGTATATTTTTTTAAATGGTAGGGCATATTATGCTTCTTCTTAATCCTCGTTTTAATCTAAACTGTTTCTACTAGAATGCATTCAAAAACTTGTGGAGTGGATAATTATAGGCACAATGAGAAAGTATAATATGTGATTTTGTTTTAGTTTTACCTCGAATATTTTGCTGATATATTTACCAATTTTCCCCATTCGGTCACTTCACTTTTCATGTTCTAAGTTCATTTGCAATCGATGGAAAGCTGACAAATTCAAATTTGCCTTCCAACTGATTGATACAGCCCGCAGCACATTTTACCATCCTTCCAAAACAGAATTGAATAATGTCGTATCAAGATAAAGTATGAAATTGAAATTTTGTAAGATCTCTTTTAACGCCTATGGATGTGACGTAACAGCAATGTCATGTCAGGGACGCCAATACAGGAAACCAAAGTCACTATAGATGATTAAAAGAGGAAGGAGCTATGATCTGTCCGTACCCTGTTAGATGACAAATTTACGTCAGTTTGCATCTAGGAGAAGCCAGATACACAAAGTGGAATGCAATGGTCACAAAGAGAGAAAGTCAAAGTCATCACCAGAATAGTTTATAAATTGAACGAAAATGGTGGTTAAAGTTATCTACCATTTTCTTCATCTTATCTCACCTCAACTAGTTGAAATATCCTCTTGTTTCAAGAATCGATCATCTAGATATAAAATAAATGTGTCTCTTTGGGAGTTGTAAATGGCATATTTTCTCTATGTGTCTGTCCTGATGTAGTGCCAGGCACAGTTATTTCTACATCATAATTTTCGGATAAAGAATTTACTATAAAAAATGTGTTCGAATTCATCTTCCGCATTTTGTTGGATGTTGCTCAACGTAGAGCGGACACTCTTTGCTAGGTCGGATTTGAGGAGGGGGGGGGGGTTCAAACCCTAGAACCCCCTCTTTGGGCACGCCACTGACCAAAAAGTGCTACTTTGCACACGCTCGTCAAAAAACCCATTTTCAAACGTTTCCTTCCATTTTTTCTAGCCTGTTCGCCGTCCAACATACATTTCTCGTCCCCAATACGTCCAGCAGACATCAGCTGACGAGGTATCGCCCCAGGTGTATCGTCGTCCCCAAGTTGCCCACACCACGACGCCTGCGCCTGCGATCTACCGCAGCAGCGTCCACCCTGTAACTATCACCCCCAGGCCGGTGACCCCCACGGTGACGTCCAGGCCGTCCCAGCTACCCGCCACCACTTACAGACCTCAGCTGTTTTCTGTGACGCCGAGGCCTACTCCCATATTGTACACGAAACAATTACAAGTAAGATGAATCTCAGATGAATCTAATGTAATTTTGATATTAGGTCTCACAAATTAAAACATATTTTATGAAATTGACAAATATCAAGCAACAATCAAAAATTAAACAGAGTCGCACGAATACAGTATTGACACATTTTTATAATTTCACAAATTCCATAAATCCCATGAAATCTGTAAAAATTGAAAATTTTATAAATTTTATTATTTAGACTTTCGAAAATCAAAAAAATTCCACATATTTTCAAAATGTTATTATTGAGTATTTGAAAAATTCGTACATACGAATTCAATAAAATTTACCCATTTCACAAATTTTATGAATTTCAAGGATGTCACAAATCTCGCAAATTTTACATATTACAAATTCAACCTATTACAAATTACACAAAAATCAACATTCTGAGTAATTCCACAAATAAAACTTATTCTGACTATTAATATCACTACTTTCAGAAATCTTTTTTACAAATTTAACGAATTTTACAAATTTAACGAATTTAACAAATTACACGGATTCAACGAATTTTACGAATCTTACGATTTTCACGAATTTCATTGATTTCCTTATTCTGACTATTGATATCACTACTTTCAGAAATCATTTTTACAAATTTAATGAATTTTACAAATTACACGGATTCAACGAATTTTACGAATCTCACGATTTTCACGAATTTCATTGATTTCCTTATTCTGACTATTAATATCACTACTTTCAGAAATCATTTTTACAAATTTAACGAATTTTACAAATTACACGGATTCAACGAATTTTACGAATCTCACGATTTTCACGAATTTCATTGATTTCCTTATTCTGACGATTAATATCACTACTTTCAGAAATCATTTTTACAAATTTAACGAATTTTACAAATTACACGGATTCAATGAATTTTACGAATCTCACGATTTTCACGAATTTCATTGATTTCCTTATTCTGACTACCTATTAATATCACTACTTTCACAAATCATTTTTACAAATTTAACGAATTTTACAAACACGGATTCAACGAATTTTACGAATCTCACGATTTTCACGAATTTCATTGATTTCCTTATTCTGACTATTAATAGTATTAATATCACTACTTTCAGAAATCATTTTTACAAATTTAATGAATTTTACAAATTTCACGGATTCAACGAATTTTACGAATCCCACGATTTTCACGAATTTCATTGATTTCCTTATTCTGACTATTAATATCACTACTTTCACAAATCATTTTTACAAATTTAACGAATTTTACAAATTTCACGGATTCAACGAATTTTACGAATCTCACGATTTTCACGAATTTCATAGATTTCCTTATTCTGACTATTGATAGTATTAACATCACTACTTTCAGAAATCATTTTTACAAATTTAACGAATTTTACAAATTTCACGGATTCAACGAATTTTACGAATCTCACGATTTTCACGAATTTCATTGATTTGTCGAAAATTTTACGCATTTTACGAATTTTACAAATTGCACGAATTTTACGGATTTTACGAATATAATGGATTTTACCAATATCATATTTTAGAATTTGACATGACATCTACTATAATTCCAAAAATTCTAGTAATTTCATGGATTTTTCAAATTTGTCTTCGTCTGATCTTCTGAATTTTATAAATTTCTCGAACTTCATGAATAACACTTTTATTCAATATTTTATAATATCAAAAAAATTTGTGAATATAACGAATTCATATGAATCAAACTCTTTTACCAATCCTACCGTTCGCGAATTTAACGAATTTTGTTCACAATTTCCACAAATTTCTTGAATTTAATGAATTAAATGAATTCAATGAATTTTATAGATGTTAGGAATTCTCTTAATTTTACGATTTTTTTGGAGTAATGGATTCAATGAAATCTATCAATTTCACGATTTTTGTTGAATATTGAAATTTCAGAAATTGTGAAAAATTTAAGATTTCACGGATGTCATAAATTGAATAAATTTTGCGAATGTATCAATTTCACGAATTTCACAAATTCTCCGACTTTCACGAACTGAACGAATTTTACAATTTTTTTCACGAAATTAAAGGGTTTCTGTGTAACATTTCAAAACTAGTTCTACTGTCTTGTGAAATTCCAAATAAATCTCATGAATCTCAAAAAATTTGGAAAAATGCAAAGTTCAAATGTCATACAGTACAGAAATATTGAATCTGCAATAAAAAAAATCACACAAATTGCTCAGATAGAAAATAACTGTAAATTACAATTTTTATGATATCTTTCAAAAGATACACTCTGTATATTCTTCATTATTGTCATTCCAGGCCTCCCTGTCGTCCACCCTTTCCCCCAACAGAGACGTAGACTTCGACGAGGAATTCCAACGCTTCCAGCAAGAAAACAACCTGGTCTCGCCCACCCCCACCTCCCTAACCGCCAGAGCGACCTCCCCCCGACCCCAAACAACCCCCAACAACCAGCTCTCCAACCCCCCACACCAGGTGTACTCCACGCAGCTGGTGTTCGACCCCGCCACCGGCCAGTACACCAACCAGATCTACCAGTCGCTGCCGCAGACTGAAGGCGGTGACTACGCGCTGAAACAGAGGATACAGCCGTACGTGCAGCGAGCGAAGCCACAGGTGTTGAATATACAGCAGCTGCAGCAACAGAGTCCGCTGTACACGCAGAGCTTGAGGCCGCAGCCTGTACATTCTCAGGTAGGAGAGCTCTGTTTCAATGAGCAAATCATACAACCACTTTCTGTGAGAATTTGATCTTGTTCTTATCCATCATTCGGTTTCCCCCTTACGAGCAACCCTCAGAAGTCTTCAAGAGACTTGTGCGAGCAAGGAATGACGGGGGTCTTACCTTTTAACGTGTGATCCCAAACACTTTCTTAGGCCATCAGAAAAATGTCTGCGGTCGTGGTGGGAATCGAACCCACCTATACCGACAATCCAACGTGGATAGAACATTGACGCTTTAACCACGAGGCTACGCTGGCCACAAAATAAGCTATTCAACTGGAAAAGGTGTAGTAGGTGTTCAAAAAACGGATACTCAAAAGTGTCATCACTCTTCTGAAAATTTCATTCATCTGTCATTCGGAAAACCGTTGGTTATCCATATTAATCATTACAGAATTACGTAACTTGACAGGTCGTTCGACGGCAAACATTGTATTTTGTCGGTTGGAACCATTCGTGGCCAACCTCTGGGTGCCGGGAGGCATTCCCAGGGGATTTTAACGTGTTTTTATTGTTTCGTCGTCGTTATTTTATTTACATGTTATACATAGAACTTTACTTATACACACATATATTGTACATATTTTAACAAGAAAAATAAATGTATTGAATCGGTTGGAACCCAAAGGAATTTCATGATTTTGCTTGGTGAATCTGTATTATATCATAGATGTGGACAGGGCTATGATCATCAAAGGTAACCTAACAATTTGTGTGCCCTCCAAAAAACCGTGTTAAAATCACGTATTCTAGAATGGTCAATTGGAAGCATAAACTATTTTTCAATGAACGTAAAAAAATGCCAAGGCTCTCGCATTGATGACGATTTGCGAAGTGACACCCTGTATTGTATTCCATAATCGGTTAGGGATTATCATGACGAATTCAACGATATCGGGTTTGATAGGATTATTTCAACCGATTACAACTAATTTGCTTTCGAAGTTTCCATATGCTCAATTGGTGTGACTTCACAATATTGAAGCTTCTTTTTCTGTCATACTCATTGAGCATATGAAAACTTAGAAGAACGGGAATATCTGCGTAATCGTTTGAAATAACCCTATCAAACCCGGTATCCATGAATTTGCTATGACAATCCCTAACCGATTATGGAATACAATGCATATAAAAATCAAAAGTTGGGGTCGTTTCCAGTAAAACCGGAAGTTATAATAGAACAAAAATTGTTTCGTCAATTAATGAACAATTTGGTATACACTATCCTCCAAGAAATAATTTGTTTCTAAACGTTCAACATTGATTAAGGCGTTTTGAGCCAGGTCATAACTATTTTTCATATTAAGCTAAGTTGATTACTATTCTTGAACAATATTTTTCGATGATTACAAAAAAAAAAAATGCAACTCGTGCGCGAAATACTTTGGATTTTGCGCACTAGATACAAACAAATTTTTTTCTGGGACGGCCAAAAAGTTTGACATTTTACTCCTGTTGACAGGTAGAAAGATGTCACTTTTCATGAAATTACTTTTTTCCGGATATACAGGGTGTTTCCGAATTTGGGGCAATAAATGAAATATCAATTGAAAACGGAAGAACAAAAAATGAAAAAATGAAATTTTCTGAAGAAAAAATATTTTGGTAGATACCTATTGAAATTTCAAGTTTCTCAGCAACTTTTGAGAATCAATTTCACATCGAGAACTTCCTGACTAATATAATATTGTGATATATTTTTGATATTAAATCAAGGACTTTCCCGTCACAAAAAAATGTGCATTATACAAGTGAATAATATTATGGTAAGGTTCGTAGCTCTCTATTTTTCCACAACATCGAGTTGAAATCCACTACTTTTTTCACTTGTAAAATGAATAGGTAGCTATTTTGCAGACTCAGCTTTTTCAAGTGCTCGTTTTTTGTACTACTCTGTAGCATTGTTGTCATGCCTCTTATGTTTGTTGACAGGCGACTTATCAAGCCCAGCAAGCAGAACAGCAATTCCAAAACTCAGCGCAGCTGTTCGCTCAGCAGCAGAGAGCGCGGGCACAGCAGGCGCAGCAAACCCAGCAGGATCAGCAGGATCAGCAGGAGCAGCAACGTCAGCCGGCCAGGCAACAGGTGTATTACGTGCAGCCTACTTTGGACTCCACCGGAGCATTAGCTACTAGTCAAATCGACGCTTTTCTCAGGGGACACAATATCCAGTTCTAGGGACTATATGAGGAGCCGATGAGTCGATAGAACTCAAATCTGGACGGTGTGGTGGACGGAACTAAGGAAATTTGAAACAAGTTCAATTTTTGAGCTTTGGATGAGTAGAATCGTTCAAGACATTCTATTCTATAGAATTATTAATACTGTTTAGTATGAGGCATGATATGATAATTGGAAATATTGATATAGAAATGTTTTTTGACGATTTCAATAAGTAAATTACGCTATGATTTTTGAATTTTCGACGAAAATGATAATTTTACGGGAGGAGTTTTAAATGTTTGATTTTCAAAATTGTCATTTCTTTCATTTCATATTTTTTAGCAAAGTGTGAAAATTCTATAATGTCCAGTATCTTCTCTAAAAAACAAATTGAGTAATAGTGATTCTCTGATGTCGGTTCTACCTTCCTGAGGTTTGAGCAATTTATTTATCCAGAACACTTTGAGATTGTTTCAAATTATCCAAATTCGTTCTACCGAGACTTGAACCTTGAACACCCAGTGAAGGGGGTTACATTTATATTAATTTATTGAACCCAAACGTATCTGATATCTGACCCTTGAAAAATTACCAGTGAAAGTTTATCTAGCAGTTACATAATTTGAAATAGTAATTTAAATTCGAAATGCATACTGCATAGTGCATAGTTTGTGCGTACGTGTGATACTTTAAAATTTAGCCATGTCGTTATCAATTGCTTTCACTTAGCTTATGATGGTCAAACTTTTCATTGTTCGGAATCTTCCAAGGCCATCGGAGTTCTTTGTACGACCTTGTGGTAGCGTCAGGTAACCTCTAGATATTGATCAGCTTTTTTAAAGATGTGTTGAAGTCTTTTTCAGATCCGGTTTGATTTAGATCTATAATTTTTTTATCTATAGACTAAGTTATTTTACTTTATAACTTGTATTGTGTATATAATATATCTGTAAGTGGTTGAGATGTGTACACCTTCGTATTTTGTTACAATAAAACTTTTTCTATAATACATTGAGGTGTTGTGATTGCTAGGTTCATAAGTATATTATAAGTTTACTGATGTGAGAAAATAATTTGGCGAGCGATTTCGCGAGTAGGTATGAAATTGGTCTCGACTATTTCAAGAAAACTTGGCTGAAGTTTTGAAATTTAGATTGTTGAATAGTTTGATGTATGTCTGAGGAAAATTAAAAAGTATACCCTCTCAGAACTATTCGGCTTGTAATCTGCTCTTATGAATTCGAAATAAGTAAACATTTTCCCGAAAGTACCTATATTTGCTTGAAATGGGGCCATCTCATTTATTTTCGACTAGTTTATTTCTAGAACCAAATCAGTTAGAACCCATTAAAAGTTCAAGTTAGTAAGTAAATTCATCTTCACCTAAATGGAAAATTTTCTAAAGAAACGTCTATTTTGGTATTTGGAGGCGCATATTCTGAATATTAAAAAAAAAATGCTGGGTCACCTGTAATATTTGTGAAAAAAAAACAGATCAGCTTTTTTTAGAATTCACACCCATATTTTTATTGTTATTCAATATCCGACTAGTGACTGTTCAATTCAAATTAATCTTATAAAATTGCAATGTTTTCATTGAACAGTTCATCATTCTAGTCAATAAATGTGCAGACATTACACAAAAAATCCATCACTTACACATATTTATTGTTACTTTTCAGTAGACAGATCTTCCTCAATTCAAGAGCCCATATATGAAACAATTGCTTTCTTTTAATGTCCCTGTATACTTTCTTGTTACCAAAAAAGTATGCGGAATTCTCTGATTACAGGAAATAAAAGTCACTTTATGGAAATGTTACAGCATTCTTATTCGTAGTAAACAGATGTCTCTAAATAAATTGATATTATGAATAAATATACCTATAGCTGTTAATTCATCTATATTTTTGAGATCTCTATACCATCTGACGAAGTTTCCTACTTTATTTCATTATTCACCCTCCTCCTGCTGATATGTGACTGGACGAAATTATGAATCTGTTTATATATAGCATATACTTAGATTATGTTTAATCAATGCAAATAGTGATGAAGGATTCCAAAGGAGTCACTATTATTTCAATTTTTTTATTTAATTTAAAAAAGTATGTCTGTATTCAATGCGTTATCAACAAAAAAATGGGGTTTCCTTGAATAAGGGAGACCACTGATTTTTAATCGACATTATCGTGACCTCTATACTGAAAAACTACCAGTGAATTAATTTTGAATTTTTTCATTCATGCTAAGACGATGAAAAAAATAAATTAGAATATGTCCATTTCAAAACACACAATTCCTGCTCCATTCGAAATTTTGTCAATTCATTGGTGTGGCTGGTGCGACGTCTTAGTCCCAACACGCCTATAGTACTTGAACTGGCCAATCACACTGCAACACTGCAGAATGACGAGGTATCAGAGAGAGATAGCTACAGTTAGGGACTAATACGTCACAGCTCCACCATCATATTTGGCTTCTTGAAATATCGAATGAAATATGCTGATTTCAAAATTCCCTTCAACTTCAACTCATATATAATATTGATTGTACATAAAACGTAAATCATGATTCGTTTATTGAAAGAGGTTTGCACGGATTTCTTACCTCAGTGGTCTTCCCAGTCATTATGTTTGTATTGGGATTTTGTCAAATTAATGTTTGAACTTCAACATTTTCCTAATCAGAAAAAATTTCAATTGCTTTGCAAATTTTTCCAATGAAATTTATCGCTGTAATGAAATTGTTGGTAGCCTAATAACTTATAACACCTTATAAATTATATATAACTTCGAATTGATGTCTGATATAATTATTTCATTATATTATGGTGTAATAACAGTTGAGCAATTGATGAAACATTATATGTACCAACTCGATGATCGTTTTGTAGAACAAAACCAATTGAATTTACTTTATTACCCAGAAAGCAAGGTTTTTCTCACAATCCTAAATTTTCAGCAGCAGTTTTTGACACAATGCTTATAATGAATTGCAATATTTAACAATTTTCTCACCTTCATTACGCCACGAGAATTTATCAATTTATTATATCCCAACCAGAATCATTCAAGAGCAATAATTCTCAGGAATAAACAAATTAAAAAATAGCCATTTTCCTTCTTTTTTTCAAAGTGCTACGAAAATACTTTTGAAACATAAAAGGCTACTCAATTTTGAGATGGCTAGGACAAAAAAAATACTTATTCTGGTGTAAACTTCGAGAGATTGACTTCCAGAAGTTCGACTATAATAACTATAGAAATTTCATTATAAACGCCTCAACATAATAGATGAATAAAAATGATAACATCAATTATTATATTATTATAAAAATAAATAACAAAGCACCAGGTTAAGCAATGAGATATAGTTTCGAATAAAAATAGAAACTGCATTATATTATGTACGAGATTATGTATACCTATATAGGTATATAGTAGCGGTTTGAAATGAAGTCAAAAATGGAAATGATTTCTTGATGCTAAACAATGCTGAATCGAATGCTACGTGATGCTACGACTGTACTATAAGGCAATTTAGTGAAATAACCGAGTGGGCTCAAAAAGGAAGAGGACAATAATATTCAATTAAGCTTATAGGTAGGTAATACGTCTTGAAGCGAGCGTCAAATGTTTTGTTATTACAAACGGCGATGGACCTAAAACCGATGTGCCTTTAGCTTGAATATGATCTGAAGAAGACAAAATAGTGCCTATATTTGGAAAAATGGCACCATCTTTGCAAACTCTGAAGAGGGGAAGTATACAAGTACAAAGGGCAGCAAAAGTAGTAAATGGTAAGGATTGTTCTATCTGCTATAAAACACACTGTGCTTTTTTCAACTATGAGATTCTATTAATTTCTAAAATCTAAAATGTCGACAAGAACACACATCTTCAACACATTCAACATCGCTGTTTCCTACGTCGTGAGTCATCCATATCTATATAACTCCGTTATAAAACTCCTTATATTCATCTGGAATGTAAGTGACAATGCTTCGAATGTAAATTTTTCAATGAAATAACCATGACAACCAAACCACTTTCGAGTCGGGTAAATACCAGAAATTTGCGGTAAACAAAATTATTGCTTACCTGATTCAAACAAATCCCAGAACCAATATTATGCTTTGAATGATATCTCAAACAGAAGAGAGACGCTGTCAAAAACAAAAGACTGTAGCTGATGAAGCAGTAAATACTAAACAGCTGATTGGAACTACAGAGATGGTAGTGAGAAAAGAGAATTATTTGGAATATTATTTCCTTCTTCCACTATTAACGATATTTTGTTAGCGACGCAGTGCATTTAAAAATAGCGCGATAGTTTCCATTTTCTGCTAGATTCATGTAAACATATCCAATAAACAAAATGGCTATGCTAGTTCATCTTGACCCAAAATGGTAGTTATTCCCTCCTTCTCCTAAGCGATTCAAGTGTAAACTGCTCATACCGGATAGTCGCTTGCGGAATATTCTAGCTTCCTGCATGTACAAAATACAAATTCTTTTTTCTGTTCAGATCAGATCGGATCCAGACAAGTGCTATGCATCTTCGTGGTCACTGGTTTCGTGCTATGTGGGGTAGTGGAACAGAGTGCTTCAGTAGCTCTAAGAGCAAACAGCACGTCGAGCTACTCAGCTCACGAGTTTGCTGAGTACGTGGAGAACACTAGCTACATCACCAGATACTGCCAGCCACCATCTCAGAATGGCAGCAGCAATACAGTCCATGTGGTCAGGTCCATACCGCATATAGAGGTCAGATAATTGATCAGATGAATTTGAATTTTCTTTCCACACTGTTTGTTTCGGAAATATCAGGAATTAGTTACGAGAATATTGAATGATTGCCATGAAGCTGACCCGATTTCACTCCTGTTGGATTTCTATGGGAACCCTTGATATCTGATGCTCTGTATTTAGACTGTGGTTCAGATAAAAGTCGAGTACCAGGTTGTGTTATGGATTTTTATTTCATCTCCTCTTTCATCAACCAGTACTAGACTAACAAATAGGGAAAATGATACAGGATTAGTTTTATCAGCATTTTCGACAACATCAGCAGAGTTCCTGACCAAAAAATCTGAAAAAATATGTTTTCTCAATGCAGCCTTGAACTATGCTTTGTCACTTGAGCACAACATAAGAATTTAGGGCCTTTTTGGAAAGTAAAGGTAGCGAATTAAACATTTTTCCATTATTATCTTCTATTCATTGTGGGTAATTGAATCAACAATATATTATATTACTAGCTGACCCGGCAATTGAGCTATACATACATTATTTCTAGAAAATATTTTTCAGTTTCACTTCCTTATAGTTTGGGTATCTATAAAAGCGTGTTTCTTTAGTTTCTCTAGCATCTTTTACAATGCCCATACTATTTACTACAATGCTCATCGTATGCTATATTGGATTCCCAATTTTGGCAAAAAAATATCCGACCCCGAAAACCCCCAGATCATGATAACAAAACTCGTCGGCCATATTGAATCCGTCATCACGAATTCTCCAATTTTGATAAAAGGATCACAATCTCCGTCCCCGAAAACCCCCAGATACCAATTTTGAATAGAATCGGATCATAATTACAAAACTCGTCAGCCATATTGGATTTGCTATCTCGAATTCCCAAATTTCGTCAGAGGAATCATAATCTCCGACCCCGACAATCCCCAGATACCAATTTTGAATAGAATCGGACAATAATTACAAAACTCGTCCGCCATATCAAATCCGCCATCTTGAATTTCCAAATTTTGACGACAGAATTATAATCTCCAACCCCTTTTATCCACATATACCAAATTTGGTTAGCATCGGACCATAATTACAAAACTCGTTCACCATATTGGATCCACCATCTTGAATTGGTAAATTTTGAAGCTCCTAGATACAAATTTTGAATGAAATCGGATCATAATTACAAAACTCGTCAGCCATATTGGAACCGCCGTCTTGAATTTCCAAATTTTGACGAAAGAATCATAATCTCCGACTCCGAAAACCCTCAGATACCAATTTCGGAATCGAATTCGACAATAATTACAAAACTCGTCCGCCATGTTGAATTTCCAAATTTTTACGAAAGAATCACAATCTCCGGTAAAGACGGTATTGTGTCATATTTTCCTTGTGCATAACTTTTTCTACCTTCAAAGTTGAAAATACATACTTATTACGATCTTCAAAGGAATGATGGCTCTTGTTTTGGCAATGAAGTTTCAATGAATTTCATTCTATTTGCATCATCACTCAATAACTTCAAGATCATATTTTATTAAAACACCTCTATTTTGGAGAATGGCTTCCACTCAAGAAGACATGCACGATATGTTCTTATTTTTTTCAGATTCCAATGACTCGCACAGACAAAACAGAGTCAGTTCTCAGACAAGCATTCATGTGGGGGACCCTAGTATCTCCCCTAGCTGCTAGTAGGATAGCGGCCAGGGTGGGAGCAGAAAGACTTTTTGGAGCCGGAGTACTGGGTTCAGGAGTGGTAGCCATGATGGTACCCGCCACCTGGTTAACAGCCTTTCACGTAGTCATCAGATTTTTCCAAGGAGTATTCATGGTGAAAACGAAAACACGCAGATTAAAATCATGTATTGCTATTGCCTATTTTCCAGGGAGCTACATGGCCAGCTGCCCATATGTTGGCAGTGACATGGATAAAGCCTAAGCACATCAGTGGCTTCATATCGCTATATGCAGGTGACTAGGACAATAATTCAGTTAGTTTGGACTATGATATTGATTACAACCTTTTTTTGTCTAGCTGTGAATTTTGGTTATGCAGTTGTGGGCATCTTAGGTACGATGTTGGTCCGTAAGCTTGGCAGAGATTGGCTTAGCTACGTCATATCTTTATGCTCCTTTCTTTGGTATTTTCTATGGTGGCGATTCGTGGATCAATCTTTGGCTCCCAACCGACCAAAAAGAGATGTAATTGACATGGTCACGAGAATGGTGTTGAGATAGTCAAATCTGGAGAATTATTCGGTTCATTTCAACTTCCTTCTCGTACCCGAATTAATTCTGGTGTTTGATGTGTTTACTTTGGATTGAAAGGTTTTCAGTTTTTTTAGGAACATAGGCATCTTCCTTGGAGAAGCCTTCTGACTTCTAAGCCTGCCTGGGCTTGTGGAATAGCTGTAATTGGTAGCCAATGGGCAGATGCTACACTTATGTTGGGTGTTACGAAATATCTGAAACTTGTGTACGGGTTTTCAATTGAATATGTAAGACACTCATCAGCATTTCAGGGCCAGGGAACTGATTATTTAATTTTTTTTTATAGGAGGATATTTTGCAGTCTCTTCCACACATTGGTCATTTCATTGCTGCCATTACGTTTGGAATAGTAGTAGATCATGTAAGAGAATCAGGATTGGTGTCAACAACTACTTCCAGAAAATTCTTCGTTTATCTATGTGAGTGTTAATATAATCGCTGATAAGATATAGAGAGAATGATATTTTTTCAGCTCATTTTCCGCCTGCTGCTCTCATGTTCGTTTTGGGATATACAGGGTGTGATCCTGCTGCCCCAGCTGCCCTTTATACAGCAGCTTTGGCAATGACTGGGGCCACAGCTGCTGGTGTTTATTCTAGTGCTGCTGATATTGCTCCTAATTTTGCAGGTAACGATACAAATTGATATAATAAGAGAGTTATTGAAATTCAAAGCGATTTGCCAGGATGTAAGGAAACATTCACAGCATAGGTATATGATTTTCCAAAAATTATCGTATACGATAATTTTGTTTTCAGGATTTTGATTTTTTAGGTACTGTTTTTGGGCTCTGCCAAACTGTTGGAGCTGCTGGATTATTAGCTGCAAACTATGTAGTATCTGAAGGACTTCATGGATCTGTACGTATTCCTCAACATGTTCTATAAGAAATAAGAGATGAAAGAACAATCGATTTTGATTGATATTTCATTGATATTTGCAATAATGTTTAATTCGTTTTAAAATCGATTGAGGCAATTTTAAGTACAGAAAATTGGCTTTAATTGTAATAAGATGGGAGACGTTAAACGTTGACTTCCTTATTATGAGAAATTTTAGCGTGAAATCAATTTGCTCAATCCAAAGATATCACATCGAACAATGGTTGAAATATCATTTGATGGTTATAAGTTGAATAAGATGATTGTTCAATGTTCCATCTGAAGTATCATGAAAATAAGATCCAAGTATAAAAAAATCCCAAGAATAAGTAACATAATATATTATTAGGTAATTTTAAAAGTATCAAATCCAATGTTTGAATCGAGGTAAACAATACTTGATATTTGGTGCCCCGTTTTTTCTTTCACTTTGTTTTCACAAGTTCTTTTTTTGTCATGAAATGATATCACTTCATGACATTTCAACAATTTCCTAATTGAATTCTTGCCAGGAATGGATAATAATTAATGTTGAACCCTTATCAATACTACTTTTCCAAGATTTACTAAATTCACTGAGATTTTAGCAAACATTCCCCTAGCAGAAACATTACATGAATGATCATCTGAATGAACATCTATAAATACCTACCCATTCATTCATTTTGAATACTTATACATATTTCTATAAAGGTTCTTTAGAGTATATACTATTTCCAATAAAAATAGTCACACACTCGGTCACACATGTTTGAAAAGTTGAAAGTACTGATGTTCAATTTCCAGAATGACCATCAGATATTGAATGAATTGGATATCAATGATTTTCCAGAAAGGTCATGTCGTGAATGATAGGGCTGATAAAGTGAACTAAAATAAGTACTTCATATAAAAAACTATGTTTATCGCACTTCGTAACGGAGTTATATACCTTAAAAGTTAGAATAAAAAAAATTCATGCATAACTTTCAAACGGTTACCATACCAATGCACCTTTCCATACGTAAACGGCTTTCCAGTGATTATGTTTTATACAAGATGGGACTAATTTATTCCATTTCTGACAGAGATGACAAATTTGACATTTTGCTTTCACTCTTTGATCCCTTCTTCTTTTTTATAGTTCGCGGGCTGGTGGCGTTTAGTTTTCGGAGTTTCCTCTGCAGTTCTTTTGCTGACTGCCGGGGCCTTTATGGCCATGGGGAGCGGTTCCATACAGGACTGGAATGCACCAGGTGACAATGAGTCTATCGTAGAAGCAGTAGAAGAGCCGTCTAGATTAGAATCTGTTTTGGAATGAAAAATGTTACCTACGTTCACCATCTTTAATTGTATTAAATATATATCTAGAACAATCACACTGTAATATTTGCCTGAACCATCATAAGCATTTTTGCCGCCCTACTTATTGTTATCGCATATTGTAAACATATATTAAAAAGACGAATCACGAATAGCAGAATAGCATGAAGTGTGGAAATCAAAGTATAGTCAATATTTCACGTCAACTGGGGTGAAACAGATCGAAATCTGAGTTTTTTTCATCGCTGCGACCAAAGTACATTCCTAGAGAGTGTGAAAAAAATATACAGTGCTTTTCTTTAATGCCCCCCCTTTTTTTTTCGAACGGGTCAACTGAAAAAATGTAAACTCGGGATAATTTTTTTTTATGTTCTGGTTCTCACGAAAAGGGATATCCTGTAATGTTCAGAGAACATCTTGAGAAACAAGGGAAACACCTCCCTTGGCAATGTGTTCCACAGCCTCGCTGATCGTTGGATAATGAAATTGATGCATGAATACTACATTTTGAAGTGAGATTGACATATGAAAATTTCAAGATGGCGACTGTGCGCCTTCTGGGAAGTTCTGAAAAAAAATGGAAAGGGGTTGATGTGACACATTTTTTTGAAGCTCCTGACGAATTTCGCAACCCTAGAATCCAGAATATGAAGTCAATATCTTCAACTACTACGAAATATTCCAGAAATCAATGATAGCAAAAAAGATACGTATTTATTGTTCGGTATTGATTAGACTTATTTTTCTAGTGCTATTGTAGCTTTAATCTTACGTGGAATCATTGATATTACTTGCTAATGCAATCTGAATATGATACTTGAAATATTCATAAACAATAATTTTTTGAATAGCTCAGAGCTATCACGATTTTTATGTCTAAAAATAGAGTATGTCTTAATCCACCTATCATGAAGATATACGAGCAATAAGCATTCAAGAGATTTTTCTTTGTCTTCAGTTGTGTACTTTGTGAGCAATCAATGAAATAAAACTCGATTTGAATTAACTCATTAATTTTTTTTCAGTCAAACGGATATACTCTTCACCGCAATATTTATGTGATATAATAATAATTATGGCAGAGTATAGTATAATAGGCATTATGAAATGAAATATCGGACACTATTTCAGTTCTATTCTTATATTTGTAATAAGTAAAAAGAATTCACAAGATCTCATGAGTAAAATCCACATCTTTGGTAATAGTTTATGTAACTTCATTTACATTTTCAGATAGCTTTGAGTACATACAGTATGTCACATGCAAATATCTTAATCCGTATTTTTTTTTTGAAATTTTGAAGGCCTACAGCCCTACAGCCCTACAGTAATAATACTGATGCTTATAACAATCCTATGCCTATCCGCTTTTATCACCTTTTTATGAAGAATTACAGTTTTATGGAAAAATATGTTCGAAATAAATATATATATATTTACAGAAATCTATGAGATGATGTCAAAAAAATCAACAAATTCACTGAAGCTTGGTAATCAGTAGTAATGTCTAGATGAAATAAATTATAAAATGATTGATTAACATTTTTGTACGAATGATATTAAAGATTCAAATATATAACAACAACAAAATCACTCAGATATATCATTGAAATAGTAGCTATCCTGAGACTGCTCAAACCTTTTCGTCCTCCCAGACCCATCAGCATCCCCATTCGACCTTTCCTCGCCCAAAATCTCAACATTCCTCACAGGAGTCCTCTTCACAGTAGGACCTCTAGTCACCACCTCAATATCATCCTCAGCCACTGGCATCGCCGGGTTGATTGCCAATTGCAACATCCTCAGCAACAACATCTCCCTGACATCGGAAGGCAGATACTCCTCTTGCACCTCTAGAGCCCTCGAAGGTAACAACCTGGCAACTCGTCTATTCGGTCTGTAAGACTGTGGGTCGTACTGCTCCTCGTACAACTGTTGCTGAGGATGACTCCTCAACGGCACCAGATGCTGCTGCTCTACCTCCACGTAGTTCTGCCTTTGGTGCGGAGGATCTGGCCTTACTTTCTGCACGAAGTAAGGCTCTTGCTGGTACACTGGTCTGGGCTGCATGAAGACCTCGGCTTGCCTGGTCAGCGCACTTATCTTCTCTAATCTGCCTTGCCTCTGAATCAGCATGTGCAGCAGCTTCTGGAAGTCTTTGGTACTCACAGGTGGTTGAATATTCTCGATATCGTTGTCTATGTCACTGTCCAGGTATCTATGCACTGGACTAGCAGGCACTGGTACCGGGTAAGGGGTAGGCACTTGCCTGGGCAATTCTCGTATGTACCCGTGCTCATCGACCTGTACTGGCATAGGTCTCAGTGGATGCTGTGGTAGTTTTCTAACTATAGCTTGTTGCTGCTCTATCTCGACCACCATTTGCTTTGTGTCCTCAGGAACGTACTGGTACCCTCTCGGGTCGTTCAGATGCTCATAAGGTATTATCCTACCCTGTAAGTGACTCAGGGGTACCAGCACTGTTCGCTGATTGGGCTGCCTGACCGCTACCAATGGTTCTTGGTGCTCAGCTCTGTTTGGAGGTATTTGAGCGACAGGTACTGTTGTGGGGGATGCATGGATGGGCTCTGGTTGAGATGTTGTAGATGGCTGGTTGTATTGCGCTTGGGTCTGCTCTTCTCGTAGATAATTGTTGTGGTAATTAACAGGGTAAGGTGATGAAGGCCGTTGAACGGTTGTAGGGACTGACGTGGTTGATAAATGGATTGGTAAAGGCCTGTTAGTGGTAGTGAACAAGGGTCTAGGGGTACCAGTAGTCATTGAGCTACTGTAGACATCTGTGGCATCGTGGCCTACTGACTGTTGGAGGCTGAATATGTGTTCACGAACATTATACTCAGGATTGCCTTGTTGCTGGGGCAGCTGCCTTCTCAATAGATTCCCTCTAGGTTCTTCACTCGCTGGTTTGTCATCTTCTAAGTTAGCGAGCCTTCTGTAGAATGGCTCCTCGCTTGGTCTAATAGATACAACTTGTTGAGCTTCTGCTTTGAGTGTTGCTGGTATGGTAGGTAGTGATGATCTGCCTTGAAGAAGTACTCTTGGTGCTGCAGAAGAGTAAACCACTGAGTTGGGCTGGGTGACTCTCGAAACATTCACAATGTTCTGGTAGTTCGGTTTATCAGTTGTAGAGCTAGTGGAGCTAGTACTAGTAGTTGTTCTTCGCTTTGCTATACTCTGTATGACACTGTTGGAGGTTGTTGTTGGTGTGGACTGAGTGGAGGTAAATATATAGCTGGCTGTCGGCTTTTTGGTTGGTATTCTTTGGACTACTGTGGAGAGTTCTGGTTTAGTTATAATTTCGCTGGCATTGGTTGTACTGTAAGATACTCTTTTGATTTGTCCTTCGTCATCTACGAAACCGTATGTTCCTTTAATGTGACCTAAGACGTCTCGGCTCTCTATCTTGAATGAACCGTCATCAGCTTCATAGCCTATGGTGTAAGATCCGTCTTCGTTGATTTTCTTTATACGTTTGATTATTTCTAATTTTCCGTTAGATTCAGCTTCGTCTAGGGATTCTTCTGTTTCTTTCTTGGTTGTTGACTCCGTTTCGGATGTGGCCTCATGCAGAATTTCAGTCAGGAGGATTATGACGAAATACACGTGTATCTGTAACAAATTAATTGAAAGTTATGTTATAAATGTGAAAACGTACAATGAGTGCCTTCATAAATAGTATTAATTCGCATGACAAATAACAGAAACTACTATAATAATATACTTGTTTTGAATTAGAAGAGTGAAATCTATTGTGAAGTTCGAGTCTGTTCTTCAGATAATTACTAGAGGAAGGATATACTTTTCCTTGTCTTGCAATGAATATGATGTTTAACGTTTTCAACATGACATGGGGAAACGGATAATAGAATTCATTGTCGAGCGATTTCATAAACGAAACGTATATTCTGCGACTTTTCTCAAAACATAAGTGTACGTTATTCATTAAATAATCAATTTGCCCCAAACTGTCACTGCGTTCAACAAATTTCTCTATCAATTAGCCTGAAAGATAAATCCAGTAGAAACATAGATATATTGAAACAATATCGAATGTTTAGTTATCTTTGGACGGTTCAGAGAACGAATCTGCTCCCGTTCTCAAGCAAATTGGTTCCCGAAACGTCCAAAGATAAGTAAAAATTCGATATTTCTTCAATACATCTATATTTCTTCTCTTCAAACAATTTTCCATACAAATTGTCACTGACAAGCTATTGAATTTTTCTTTTAGGCTCCCTGATAGACACATATCTTAAACGCAGTGAAATTTTGGGGCAAATAATCTGATTTGTCTTACTACAGTACTACACCTATATTGAAATAATACTCATATTTTCATTTGATAGAAACGAGGAAAGAAAATACTCATGTAAAATAATTAAAAGTTACATTATATTGATAGTGCTCGTATAGTAATCGTATTTATACACTAAAAGCTTTGATTATATACAAGGGTGATTGATTCATTCTCTGATAAAGATTGACAAATTCTGATAAAGATTGGCAATTTTTTTTTTTTTGAGAATTTACAATTAATACTTATTGTTAGTTCATTCGGTTCATTCGGCTTTCATAGATATTCTTTGAAAAAATATACGATAAACCTTTTCAAAACATGAATATTTTATGAAAATTACAAAAATGCACTTTTTCTAAAGGTCATTGGAAAACCACATATCATAATTCAATAGAGGGAGTGACTCTTTTTCTATATTCTTGTATATACTCATAATCTCTGCTTCTATCCTTTGTTTTTCTAGCTAAATTTCTGAAATTTGGAACATCGAATATGCTCACATTTTGGGATTTTTTTTCATCTTCCGGTTTTCCTGAAAATGACATCAACTTTCGAATGCCTGTCTTTCATGCCATAGCTGATTCATTTGCAAATTTTGGAAAGTTAAATTGCTCTGGTATATAGGTAGGAAATTATGGTTTGAAAGAAAAACCAAGATAAACTTGCTTATGGGGATTTGGAGCCATGAATATTATGAGGTCGGTTTTCCTGTTAAAAAAATTTATATATGAATTGAAATATGATTTCATAAACAATTTACCCCTTTTCATTTCAATAAAAATGCATGGCACTGTCCAAAATTATGTTCGTCTTTGAAACACTGATCATATTATTGATGGTTATCTACCCTAATAACACACCTTCATCCATTGGACATCCAATGGATATCCTCACCCGGACATCCTGGACATCCATAGGATAACCACTTTGTGTACACAGGAAATCCTATGGATGTCCATAGGTAATCAGCTTTCCACATTTTAGGACATACATACGTTATCCATTATGGACATCCATTTGGTGTCCATTATGGACATCCATTTGGTGTCCATTATGGACATCCATATGGTGTCCATATATTAGACATATATACCAACCTATACGTATTCAAAAGACAGGTTATGTTATTTTCATTTATTTCAAACATTGTTCATGGGTGAAACCTAAAGTATATAATATAATAAAAAAATAGATAGTACCTACTTAGGATGATAAATTGGAAAAGAAGCTGTCCAATTCACTGGCAGCACAAAAACTGAAATGCATATTTTGCATCGTTTCTGCATTATTTTTGAAAATATTCAATACATTCTAAATCCGTCTCCATAATTCCTGTTCAGTATTTAATGGTCTGAAGTACACCTTAAACTTTATAGGTACTGCTTCCCTGCTATTTCCTCTGCCGTTTCATCTACTTATTATCTGAAAACTGTTGAATGAAACAGCAATGGACATTCAGAGTGAAATGTGGTGGATCCTCATCATGCAAGAGCCACATGTTGTGAAAAAGGTGTAAATTTTTATCGTCGGTTTAGGTCGATGAGTAAGATAATTGGCCCCAAGATGAAATTTCCTTAAACTGCGAAATTGTCAGTGATTCTTGCCCACACATCATTATCATTCAAGAGTTTGTCAACATCCGATGATTTTTTTTTCTACTTTATAGTAGATACGTCGGAACAACCTGTTTCAAATCCTTTTCCTTCTGTTCATTCTGGTGAAGGGTGTTTTACTGTGGTTTTACCTACCTATCCAAGAAATATGTTATGTTATCGTAACAATTCGCAATCAGGAACACCTGAATAGACACAGAAATAATAAGAACTTACTTGTATGAAGGCCGTATAAAGCAGGAAACTGGGGTATAATTCAACTATAAAATACTAGTAATTATCATGAAAGTCCACCAAAATGAATGAATGAAATAAACATAACCTATATTATGTTTCGAATTCTAACAGATGAATTCAGATCTTCTTCTTCTCATTTCACTCTTCTCAAAATTTCTCGCTACAATGGACATCCCGACAATACACTTATGGATGTCCAATATGTACTGCCAAGTATCCGGTATGGACATCCAAGTGGCTATTCGATGTGCGTCCATGGACATAGATAGGCTTCCAGATGGAGTACATACTAGATCATCAGCTGGATATACAATAATGTACATCAAAAGATAGTTCCATTTGGCGTCCATGGATGTCTTGGACGGCAAATGGATATGAAATGGATGTCGTCTGGATAACGTGTGTTATTAGGGTATACTGTTCCAAATTTGGTAAGAATCACACTACTAATACCTGAGATATACAGGGTGTATCTTGTATCTTGAAAACGGATTCCGCTACGACATTTTTCTACTAGGCAATCCCAATTTATTTTGAGAACCTAGCAAGGGGGTCAGATTTTTTTGAAACACCCTGTAGAGGGAAGAGGGGCGTTTGAAATGACACACTCTCTATAGTATATGAGGAATCGACATCAATGAATAATGAATAGCGTTTTCAAATACCTTTCATAAGAGGGGTCACAAAGAAAGGGTATTTTCCATGAAAAAAAAAAACTTTTCCTTGTGACAGCAGGTAAACACAGCGATCCACTCACCTGTTTGATTCCCGCCATAGCTTCATTGATAATGTCACTGTCGCACAGAGACTGACTGAAGGTGTTTTCTTCACTTACCTTTATAAACTCCTCAATTCTAATTGCTGTGAGCTCTACATGGTAGCAATGGTAGCATCTGAAGATCTCTTCCGTGGGGAGAGACGACCTTGAGAAAAACGCCCAGCGGGAGTCACCGGAGTGGAGTAGATGCGATGTTATCAAATTGGGGGGAATAGTCGGAGATTCTCGGATTTTCAGTTACATGATTTTAGAATGCTCATAGAATTGTTAGATGGAGTAAGTATCAATGGTATCATGAGTAGTTTTTGCTTGCTACAACATCGTACTAGATTCACTCGCGCTAGGCAACTAGTGAAAGTAATATATGAGGCGGTACAATATGCTTCGTTTGTTCTTTATGAGAGGTCATGTTTATTTTGTTATTTTTCAGAAGTAGAAGTATAACGATGAGATAATTATATTGTTTCTTTCTTCACGGTATTCACGGTAATGTCTAATTGGATCAGATAAAATTTTGTTGGTCAATTATAAATCTCTCTGAAAAACATAGTTCTTGTAGAATAGCAGGAATATAAATTATTTTCCAATACCTACCTCCTCTCCCTATCCTCCCTAAGTAACAAGATGTCCTCCAAACATTATAGGGATTCTTTTTCGTGCACTTCGAGAGATAAAAAATCATTTCTTGTTTGCTAAACTGTGTAGGATAGGATATCCATGCATCTGAAAGAATAAAAATGCCTAGCATCGAAATATTCAATTTTCATAATTTTGATTATAATATTCAGTAGGTAATATAGGCCCACTTACTATCAAAAAGGGCGAGTATATGATATATCCAGTCTCATGAAAAAGGAAACAAATTCAACATACGTCAACCATATATTAGAAGAAAACCATAGTTTTGATGATAATTTCGAAATTCTGCACGTAGAATTTGTTTTCTTAGTAAGTAATAATATGTATTTGCTATCAACACTTTCAAGTTAATTCGGTATACCGTAATTTAATGTAGATATTGTGCCTAATTTCCGAAAATGGAGGTTTATCGTACAGGTAAGTAATCCTTCAGGGTGGAAATCTTATCGTTTGTGAAGTTTTTACATTTGTCATGGATTTCCTACATCAAGTAACGGCCGAGTCATTTAAAAAAAAAGTTGTTTTCTATTGAATAAACTGGAAAAGAGTTGATATTTTCATCACATAGAGAATGCGAATTCTCAATGTATTGCTTTATATAAATAATATATATCCATTTTTGTATGTTCATAATTTATCTGAGAATATTCCTTTTCAACACTTCCATACATAATCAGGGGGTTCAAACTTGAACGATGGAAACTTGTGATTTTTATAAATCGCAGATTCGTGATAGAGTCTCAATTCAGAATTTCTTTCCACGCCCTGTATGATGAATGTCAATTTATCATACACCCAAAAGCAAAAATGTATCCTATATCATTGAAAACTGAAAATTTATTCAAGAGAAGAAAAGGTCGATATGTTATTGATATTTGGAGAGAGCAGGAGGAGTGCACATCAGTTTCATGTATCCAAATGGATGATCATATTATGATGGCTATACATGGCAAAAATGAAAGAGAAATAGTTTCTTCACATGTAGCAAAATGAAAAAACTGAGTTTCTATTTTAGCTTTCTCAATATCATGAGTTATTTTCGAATGATTGTTTTGAACTCAATGAAATTATAGGCAATCTTCTGGGACCGATTAGGGTATGGAAAATATTCTGATAATATCGTCTTAGTAAAGTTTTTATGGTTTTTGGGATTTCTAAGCCAATCAAGCATCGAAATGTCATTGTTTTCGATCCACAGCCAACTTCATGTATTTTAAGAAAATGCAATTTAACAGCCAATTAATAAACGAATATCAAATTGTGATATACAATTGAATAGAAAATTGTGAGGCAAATATGATACAGAACTACAGAAATATACAGGGTGCCATTTAGAAAAAATAAAGTTGGGTGGTTGAAGACTTGTCATTGGGTTCAATCGAAGCGCCATCATCGATAATATAACCCTTGCGAATTTAAAATTCGAATGAAAAAACTACAGGTTGTTACATGTCTCCTGTGTATATTATGATATTCACGTGAATCTTGGTCATTTGATTCTAACATGATCTAAATAAGATATACAGAGTTATCTTAGGGTTAACTTATATATGGGTGACTCATAACTATTGGGACATAGACTGAGGGCGGATTGCTTAATGTCCTGTCTATAAGCCAAATATTTGTGAAAAAAATGGTTTTTTTTGGGATAGTAGTTCAGCCGCATCTATTCATTTAGGTTCAACGTGGTTTCAACTTATTCCAGAAATGTGCTCTCCAAAAATAAATTATAATTCCATGATCTCATGAATTGTATTTCGGTCATATCTTTCGATCATTAAAATCCCTATCATGACAAATTAAAAAAACAATAAAACGTTCTAGCAGTATAATTTGACGAATCTCAACAGTCTGAATGCCATTGTTACAAAATATTAAGTCATACAAAAAGACAATGTGTCCCATTTCACACGAGAAATTAACAAATTCGTAATTTTGTGTCGTACTTCAGCAAGTGATTGTGTTTGCAGATAATAATCTGGAAAAAATCGGGCTTGGCTTGTTTCATTTATATTCAAAGAGACTTTTTCCATCTTGTATGCATGCAGTTTCCAACAATGTCGTTGTAGAATTGAAAATAGAGTTCCTAGTTTAGTGAATTCAGTTTTCACAAGGAAGTGATCTATTGAATTCACTAGATATGTTTGTGAAGACTCTATAAGACTAAGAAAATATACCTACTTATGATTAGAATACACGACAGCGATAAGTAGGTACTTTGCAATTGTTCTATTATTTCCCATTCATTTGTCTACAGATGGAAAGTTATAAGTTATTTAAATCGTCGATATACAGAGTGTGATTCACTCAAACAGGAACATCTCCTTATGAAATCTACAGTTTCAACCATCAATTGCAAAATATGTTTAGCGATTTTTTTCAAACAATTTGACTATATACCTACCACTGGAGTAACCATATCTTTGAAAACATCCGTTTCGAAGCTTGGTATTACTATCAGCACTAAACTTTCTTGGGGAAATCAGGCACAGATCCGACCTGTCCTGGAATACTGCTCCCATATTTGGAGTGCAGCACCCAAACATACCCTGAAACAGTTGGATTCTGATGTCCAAAAAAGGGCAATTCGTCTCGTGGGTGATGCCTCGCTCATAAACTCATACTCACTTCTCTGGAACACCGTAGAAAAGTTGGCGATCTGGCTCTATTTTATAGATATTTTCATGAACGATGCCATTCTGAAATATCAACAATTGATCCCCCCTAGGCAGTCCCCGCGAGATTAACCCGTCGAGTTGAGGCTTCGCACCCCTTCATGGTCACTTTGGAGACCTGCAGAACATCTCTTTCCAAAGACTCCATCATCCAACGAACAGCGAGGCTCTGGAACACATTGCCAAGGGAGGTGTTCTTCGAGGCATATAACCTCCAGAAATTTAAGAAGAACACCAATTCCTACCTTATTTCCATTGGTTCTCACGATGTTCTCTGAAGAATACAGGATATATCCCTTTTCATTAGTCAATAGTATAGTAGAATAGTAGAATAATAATGATTGAAGATGCAGATGCACCTCCCTGAAAGCGTTGATTGATATATTACGCTTACCCAGCATAAGCGAAATATATCAATCAACGCTGAAAGTAAACCTGGTGGCGCCCATGCTTTCATCTGCTTTCATCTGTAACGGTAGAAACCTGTAATCGTCTTTCTATACCTGTTGCTTCAATGGTTGCAGGTAGCGTTCTTTTTTCAAGCCTCGATCCTCGATCATGTGACAGCATCGCGTCTCTCTTGAAGGTGTCTCTGTATTGCCTGTTTGGTGTTTGCTTCACTTGCCGGTGGGCGGCTTCAATCGTGCTTGTTGTGTTTTGCTTTGTTTTGTTCCGTTTTGACCGTTCCTGATTATGTCGAAAAGTAATTGTTTTTTTGTGATAGTTCATGATTGTGTGAGTGTGAATAACCGTTATATCATCCGAACCTAGGTAAGTGATTCAAGGGTTGGGAATTTGTTGAGAACAAACAGCGATAACATCCATAGACACCTGTTTTTTGTTCTTAACCTAACTTTATTTTCAGATTTGAAATTTGAATGAAAATGCCTCGGAAAAAGCAGAGACCACAGGAGAATATTACAAATGGGTGAGTGAAGTTATATGGAAATTATCGAATAAAAACCTTTAGAATATTAGCAAAAGTCTCATGTCAATACCTACATTTCACTGTATTGAAAAGGTGATAGGTAGGTAGATGGTAGCAGTAGGTAGATCGGTAGGTATTACCACAGATTAACAAATTACTAGGTAGGGTACTTTTAGTAGAAATTGCAAAGGTAATTAATAATCGTTCAAATTTATATTATATTTGACAACACCTACATCCACATACTTATCTAAGATATCTGTCTGTATAAATGTAACATTGTATACCTACTAAAGGTATGTGCTAGGTACTTATTACTACAGGTAGATAGAGGCGGACTGGGGGGCCGGGCGGTCGGGCGATCGCCCGATGGGCCGGGGCCCTTTGGGGCCGGTAGAAATAGTGAATGAATGAAGAAATATGTCTTCTCGACAGCTTTCTGAAGTATGAGACCATTATAACTGCAATTTTGTTTAGGAAAATCTTCAATTTCACCACTCCTCTTTCGAGCTAACTACAAATGTCAGGTACCAATGGATATTCTAGATGCATACCAAATGGTCGGAAAAACCATGAAATCCTTGAAAAAATATCGCGAGAATATGATGTAATTTTGAATGATACACATAAATTCATTGATAAAGCAAATGAACTACCAACTACCTATTTATTCTCAAAGAACACGAAATAAAAAAAGCTTCTTTGATGAGAAAGGTGATCATGAAGCACATCAAAATCCCATCAAGAAATTCAAAATTGAGACTTTTAATGTATAACCATTGATAATATTATCACCGCACTCGAATCCAGATTCAAGAAACCTAAAGAATTGTTTTACGATTTTGAACTATTTGATCCGTCGAGATTCACTGATGATCAAATGATATCAACTGAAAACCGAGCTGAAAACTCAATAAGGATGATTTATGAAAATATCACAAATTATCATCCTGCTGATGAAATAGACCTTGATAGATTTTACCCCGCAGTGGGACAGACTGTCGAGTACTTTGTCAGAAGATATGATTGATGGTGGAACTTATGTCTTCGGTGTAGAAGAGGAATTGATTTCATCAAAACACTAGTTTTGCAAAACATTTTCACTTAGTTGCTACTATGTTTTGCACAAATACAATTCATGTGTCGAGGATTCTCACCCTCTCAGTATCGCAGGTTTCGTGTGAGAGATTTTTCTCAAAATCGAAATTTATCTTGATTAGGCTAAGAAATTATCTGAGCCAAGAACATTTGGGGACTATGAGCTGCGAAAAAAGATTTCAGGAAGCGACGATATCATTCTCGATTTTGTTGAAAAATGTGGATCCATGGTTCACTCGTTTTTTAATTTCAATTTCTAATGCGGCTTATGTTTTATTTTGGTTTGATACTTTTCCTAGTATTTTTGTAGCTTTAATATTATTTACAAAATGCCTTGTGTTCCTCTATACGATAGAAATGTCCTTTATTTGATTTATTTCAATTTTTCATTTATACAATGTTATTTATGCGTTATTCATTTCATTTTTCTTCAGCATATTTGATGTTTTATCGACTAATTTTTTCGCTTAAGTTTGATTAAAATCAGAATTATTTGTAATTTTTTTTTGCGTTTTTGTCTATGTCACTCAAATATGTAATGAAATTATATAAATAGCTATATTAGCTTCGAAATTTTCTCCGAAGATGGGCCGGTAAGATTCAATTCGCCCGGGCCGATTCAAAGGTCCAGTCCGCCTCTGCAGGTAGATAACGGGTAGGTACAGGGTACAGGTAAATATTTAGACATGATTATTTGAACTATTTTTTTCTGTGACGGGAAAAAAGTTCGAAATTTCATCTCTGTTCACAGGTTATAAAATGTCACTTTTCATAGATTAATTTTTTCCCCAGGGGAAAAAGTGAGTACTTTTTTCCCCGAATATATATATATCACATATTCTATGTATATACTGTTGATGGCTTTTGTTGTGCTATTGCTATAGTTACGAAAAATAAGCCAATAACACCGTATTCCAGAAAGAAAGAGCTGCAAGTCCTTTTTATCTTCCATTCCATTTCGCGATTATGTATATTACTAAACAACTACTAAATTCGCAATTTATTGAAATCAAATCATGCACAGAATTAGGCTGACAGAAATGTTATTTCTTCAAAAGAAAGATAATGATACCTGCAACGCAGTTGTTATTCCTGTTAAAAACTTCAAATTTCATGTGGATAATTTTCTGATTCTAATATATTTATAATATCTTATTATTCTCAATATTGATTCATCCTTTTTCCTGTCACAAAAAAAATGGTGTATCATACACGGGAACAATTTTAAATTTTAGCTCACGGCTCATCCTGAAGCTAATATCTACTACTTTTTTCCCTTATGTAATTAATAACTCTCTGTAACAAATCAGTCAGTATTGGATGAAAATATTTTCTTCAAATAAGTCTTCAAAGAACAAACATTAGTTGTCCCTCCTAAATCTGAATGCTTGTCAATCAACATATTGATGCACTCAATTTGTTTACAAAACTCATCAGATCTGTAAAAACTGCTATCATCTAACTTTTGAAAGATATCAGGTTCCTCATGCAGGTTTACCTGGAATTCTTTTCTGATCCGTTGCTTGACACTGTCTTTGAAATATTTATCAACCAGATCCCAGATGCCTAGGGTGTACCATACCATGAATATCAAAAATACAAACCCACGTAAAAACAAAGAAAACATTTTTAAATTATTCTATTCTTTGTAGAGATCGTACACTGAATTGATAATTTCTATGATATGGGGCCAAGAAAATATAAAGAATACTATTAGAGTGTTTCCTATCATGAAGAGTTTCATATTTTCTATTCCGTCTTCAGATCTGATCCATTTAGAAAATCCCTGCTCGTCTTCAGAATCCAATATTTCTGATGGTTTTGGTTCTACTTTGACCTGAATGTTTTGTGAAGCCTTTCCTTGTTTAGAATGTTTATGTTTCATTTCTTTTTTTAATAAAATCACTTCAAATCGGTGATGTTCAGGTTATAAGACGAAATCCATGCTGTTAGGCTCATATCTGTAAACAAAAATATCATTTGCTATACAAATTCATAATATTTACCTAAGTCCAAACTTGGGAAATTTCGAATATTTTCGGAGATATACGATAACCGAAAATTTCCTATAACTCTTTTTATTTTTTTCCATGTTATTTGAAGAAATTAATCGAAATGACACTTTATCTTCGCCACTTTTTCTTCCCTACAAGTTGGCGTTTTCGAATTTGAAATCCGACGTTTCGACTTCGAAAAATCATCATCAACTTATTGTTTTGAATATGGACCTGGGTTTTTCATTTCATTTTTTCACACCTTTGGATACCTATCCCAAAAGCTATGAACGATCACAAATTCATTTTCGAATGTTTTGTTTACAAAAATTGTCATTCTTTCTAATTTTCTTGATATTCTTCTATTGCTCCTTATGAAATTGCGATAGTGATTCCGAGAATATTTTTATAACTGTTATCAAGTTATCAAGCAGTTTATGTTAACCTTCATTAATAAAAAATTATGTCTTTTCGTGAAAGAGTTGTATGAAAAAAATCTCTATCGCATATGCCAAAATTCTAATTTTTATACGTAGTTCGACAAAATTTTCTCATCGTTTCCGTGGTGTAGTGGTTATCACATCCGCCTAACACGCGGAAGGTCCCCGGTTCGATCCCGGGCGGAAACACTTTTTTTTAAATTTATTTTACCGATGATTTCCTTCATTCCAATCATAGATCTATTCAGATTTATGTTCCTATGAAACTAACTGTTCATAGCATCATATACAAATTTGAAAATAGGTCATGACTATTATACCAGAACGCACCATGTTCCATAAACTATGAGGCCGAACATATATTTCCAAATTCAACGAAGGAAGGTTTATGGTTTATGGAAGGGATATTATGAAAGATATAAATATAGCAATGAGGAAGGGTGTGGAAAATGAGACAGGAAGAATAAGAGAAGGGAAGGAAGCATTAGGATCATTCATAGGTAGGAATGGAAGCATTGAAGCACTAAGGAAAGATGCACTCTGTGGAAGTAAACACTAACGAAACGAGAGAAGCACTATGGAATGATAGCATTGAGGAAAGTAGAACTGAGGACAGTGCCAAACTCGTTATGAAAAGTTTCTGTCTATAATTATGAAGTAAATAGGTACATCTAAAAACTTAGTTACAAATCTGAAAAAAATTAGTATCTATTTCCTCGTGTTTATAATTATGTGGTACATCAAACCCACATGGGTGATAGTCTATAGATTTTCTATGTAGGTGACGCCGGGTTGGCTAAGTGTGAAGTGTAATGCAAGGTATTCAAACTGATTTAATATTTATAATCTTGATCAGCATACATTTTTGTTCTATTAGTTTTGTCGAAAGAGGATTTGAAAATTTTAAATTCATGGTTCCATGGTGTAATGGTTAGCACTCTGGACTTTGAATCCAGCGATCCGAGTTCGAATCTCGGTGGGACCTCTCTTTTTTAAATTTTTCACTGCTAATCACTTAACTAAATCAAAATCTACAGGTGTTTTGCAAACTTTATTTCAGAAGATTGAGAATATTTCAGTCTGATTAATAATTTCATGAATTTAATTAACGTTATTTATAGGTAGGTAGTTATGATATTATGCTCTTCTCCTATAACTTGCGTCATTCACAAACTCGATTTTTGTAGACATGATGAAAATACATTATATGATTTGAAAATAGTAGTATTTTTTCCAAGTGATTTGTTTATCGTAGATTACATCTTTCTAAACTAATAAGCTGATGTGCAAAGATTTGCTTGGTCTGTAACTAAGGCAAACACAATTAGCAGAATTTTTGTTCAGCCAACCACCTCTCCCGTTTCTGGCATTCCCTATGAAGCCTTTCAATTTGCCAGTCAGCTCAAAAGTTTGCTAACCTCTCATTAATTACTCACGGCTCCTTTCTCATTTCCCTACCTCTCTTATAAACGGTTCTTTGACAGTCGGAAACTCGGAAAGTTTTTCCAGGAGAGAGGATTATTTTTCGTCCTCTCCTGTTTATTGGTGAAAACACGAACTATTTAAAATGAAAAAATGTCCATATCAATCAATAAGAGTATACTGATATTGTTCCAGAATGATTATTGAGCTAAAATGAACTGAACATTTTCGTATTAGCTACAAACTGTTGTTACAAATCACTTTTCTTTATTTCTTCCCAGGAACGAATATCGGTGGTTTATTTTGTACCCCAAAATGAGCAAAAATAATATTTTGAGCACATAATATGAATAGTTAAAATCGAGGGGTAAATCACGTGGGAAGTTTAGTGTACAGACACAAGGAAGTTCGAGGAAGTTTGGGGAAGTTTGAGGAAGTTTGGGAAGTTCGAGGAAGTTTGGGGAAGTTCGAGGAAGTTTGGGAAGTTCGAGGAAGTTTGGGGAAGTTCGAGGAAGTTTGGGGAAGTTTGGGAAGTTCGAGGAAGTTTGGGGAAGTTCGAGGAAGTTTGGGATGTTCGGAGAAATTTGGGGAATTTCGAGGAAGTTTGGGATATTCGAGGTAGTTTGGTAGAGTTTGAATCATTTCGTGATGTTCAGATAGTTTTGAGTACAGAAAGCAATGATTAGTCGGATATTCATTTCTCGATTTTTTCATTTCAGCAAATAATAGAGATGCTGTTAGATAACTCAATAATACCTACCTACCTGAAAATTCATGGTACTGAATACTGAAAAATTGCATTGCATAGGTAATTAGATCAGTAATTAGTTAGAAGGTTGATTTCTGTTGGTGGATTATTCAAAGTTGTAAGTCTAATTTCATTTTGTATTGAATTACAATGCAGATATTCAACTCGCCTGTACCTGCCTATACATATTCGTACAGTCAGATGCAATGAACATGTCGCACTAGGGCGGTAATGGCACCTATCTAGTCACCTCTGCAATAAGAGCACTAACACCATCCAACCGCGATATTTTTTTTGCATCTAACTGAACCTACCTATACCTACCTACCATAGGGAAAGGAAAAAAAGTTGAATCAATCAATACTAAATTGCTTACCTGGTTTGTGAATTTTGAGAAGTTTCGGGAAGTTTAGGAAGTTCGAGGAAGTTTGGGAAGTTCGAGGAAGTTTGGGAAGTTCGAGGAAGTTTGGGAAGTTCGAGGAAGTTTGGGGAAGTTCAAGGAAGTTTGGGAAGTTTGAGGAAGTTTTGGGAAGTTCGAGGAAGTTTGGGGAAGTTCGAGGAAGTTTGGGAAGTTCGAGGAAGTTTTGGGAAGTTCGAGGAAGTTTGGGGAAGTTCGAGGAAGTTTTGGGAAGTTTGGGAAGTTCGAGGAAGTTTTGGGAAGTTCGAGGAAGTTTTGGGAAGTTCGAGGAAGTTTTGGGAAGTTCGAGGAAGTTTTGGGAAGTTCGAGGAAGTTTGGGGAAGTTCGAGGAAGTTTGAGAAGTTCGGCGTAGTCTGAAACATTTCGTGATGTTCAGGTAGTTTTGGAGGTTCGAGGATGTTTGGGAAGTTTCCGAAAGACCAAGCAAGCTGTAGGATGTCTGTGAACGTTTGGGCGGAGCCGGTCGGGAAAAATCTTCAGCTATATAATCCAAGAAATTTAATATCTTAGGATATACAGAGCTGTGGTGACGAAAGCCTATAGGGGAGATCCCTCTCAACAAATTATGAAATCAAGTTCATATGAAAATGGGTCCGAAAATGCTTCGTTTCCGAGATACAGGGTGTCCAAGTTAAAAGAATTATGGGTTTTCCATTATTGCTAGAGGCTTCTGTCAAGGCTTTTGTCGACACAACTCTGAAACACCCTGTATAGAAATAATATTTCACATAATTTCAAAGAGTTCATTATTATTTCGGAACTTTCAACCGAGCTTTCAACAGATGCTGTTAGATAAGTCCTCGGATAAGTCAATAGTACCTACCTACCTAAAAATTCGTGGTACAGAAAACCTGCATTGCATATTATGTAATTAGTTTGATAGTTGATTTCTGTCGGTGGATTTATCAAAATTGTAATAAAGTGGAATTCCATTTTGTATTGAAATACAGTGCATTCATGACATTCAGTTTCAAATTCCTTCCAGTAAAGTACTTTTTCTACAAGCGTGCGTGATTCACCCTATACCCGCACGCAATTTAGTTTGGGAAGTGTCATTTTCCCGCAACAGTGCGGGAAAATTTTCCCACACTAGTGCGGGAAATTTTTTCACGCACTAGTGCGGTAAAACAAAGATATGATAAAATCGCTAGTAATATAAGTGGTTGGTGATGGAATATCAAAGTTTAAGTTTGTTTGTTGCAGTATTAAGTATGTATGTTCAGAATCATCCATCAAATTGCAATATTTATTGTAAAAATTAAGAAATATTGAGAAATAAAAATGGATTACTATAAAAATCCCCCTATAGATTTGGATTGATCTGACGGGAAACGTCAATTCGTCATGCCAATCAAACCTCAAATAAGTTTGAAATTGTCGAAGTGACAGACGCAGCATTACTGTCATTTTTGATTCAGTGGAAATGCCACAATGTGATAAAAACTTCTAGCTATAGGGATTTGATACAGATGCATTATCACCAAAGAAGTCTTGAGAAAGGTATGAGAAGCTATACATACGCGTTTTATTGAATGGTGCAACAATAAAGAAATGAAAAAACCG